AGTGAATTTCATTGTATGGGTATACTGTGTATACACGTACAATGACAATGAAGCACCTAGTTCTAATTTTAATCACTCAAGGTCTCAATTCATACCCAAAACTGGTCTGCTCTAGTAAGCCTCATTGCTGTGAAACTGGCTTTAGTGTCAAGAAAATAAATCTTTTCTGATAGAATTTGCTTTGGACATTAGATCCCTTCTCAACATACATATAGTCCTCAACTTATGACCACAACTGAACTCCAAATTTGTTGCTAAGCAAGATGCTCGTTCAGTGAGTTTTACCTCATTGTACAACCTGTCTTGCCACACTGGTTAATGAATCACTGCAGTCGTTAAGTGAGTCATTTGGTCCTTAAGCGAATCTGGCTTCCCCCATTGACTTTGCTTGTCGGAAGCCGGCTGGGAAGGTTACAAAGGGTGATCTTGGGACAGTGCAACCGTCATAAGTACATGCCAGTTGCCAAGCATTCAAATTTTGATCACATGACCACGGGAGATGCTGCAAGGGTCATAAATGTGAACACCGGTCATAAGTCATTGCTGTCGTAACTTCAAACAGTCATGAAACAAATGGTTGTAAGTCAAGGACTGCCTGTATGGATCATATTGCTCATAGATAATTGATCAAATCCACAAAAGAAACTTATTTTAACATTGCAATGTGTAGATCATAATTGGAAAAACGGTTGCAGAAGTTGGGCATGGCCAGTCCAGTGAAGAGAAGGACCAGGGGAGACATGAGAGCAGTCTTCCAATATTTGAGGGGCTGCCACAAAGAGGAGGGGGCCAAGCTATTCTCCAAAGCACCTGTAGGCCAGACAAGGAACAATGGATGGAAACTGAACAAGGAGAATTCAACCTAGAAATAAGGAGAAATTTTCTGACAGTGAGAACAATCAACCCATGGAACAGAAATTGCCTTCAGAAGTTGTGGGAGCTTCATCACTGGAGACTTTCAAGAAGAGACTGGACTGCCATCTGTCAGAAATGGTGCCACTCCTCACCTCCCCACCCGAGCTCCTTAGGGCCCCAACATGAAGCAGTTTCTGGAGCTAAGCAGCCACCATGAGAAAGAATTGTCAAAACAGCTCAGTTCAAATTGGATCTGACCAAGAAGGAGGCTCAGTAAAAGCACCTCACTGAGGGCTAGGAGCATAGGCTTTCCAAGCAGAGGGAAGACCTGCAGGAGTGCAAGGTCTCCTGCATCTGGAGGCTCAGTGGGCTGAGATGGTCAGGCAGTTCCAGGCCATGATGCAATCCCACTGGAACAAGGCCCTCCGGCTCTTTGCCACCAGCGGCACTTCCTTCCAGCCTTCGCCCAAAGCCCCACACCAGGAGGCTGAAGCAGACCCCAAGTCGGAATTTCTGCCCCCCTCCGACCTGCACAAAAAGACCCCAAAGAGAGATTCTCTGCAGCAACACAAATGTTCGTTACACGAATCTGTCCCAGGGGCCGTAGTTTGAGGACCCCCGATTTAGTGCAATATAAAAAATGCAAATAATTTTTCTGCAGACCATCAATGGTCCATGGACCACCAGTTGGTGACCGCTGGACTAGATGACCTGTAAGGTCCCTTCCAACTCTGTTAATGTTAATTTTGTGGTTTGTTTTTTTTAATTTGATTTATATGCCGCCCTTCTCCGGAGACTCAGGGCGGCTTACAATGCGTTAAGCAATAGCTTTCATACTTTTGTATATTTTATACAAAGTCAGCTTATTGCCCCCACAAACTGGGTCCTCATTTTACCTACCTTAGAAAGGATGGAAGGCTGAGTCAACCTTGAGCCTGGTAAGATTCGAACCTGCAGAAATTGCAGGCAGCTGTGTTAATAACAGGGTGCATTAAACCACTGTACTACCAAGGCTCAGTTGGTACAAGGCTCAGTACTACCAGGGTTTGTGAAAGCATAAATGCAGCGCAGACCAAGAAGGTTTTTTGACAACTATTATTCATTTATTTAAATTTTTATACCGCCCTTCTCCCGAGGGACTCAGGGCGGTGCCAACAATAAAACACATATATCCATAAAATTAAAAAAAAATAATTTAAAAACATATTAAATAATTTGGCCCCAATATTATTAAAAACTAAAACAAACCATTAAAATTCATGTGTAAGCCAGCCCAGCTTGTTGAAACCATCATGTCTTGAGGGCACGGCGAAAGGTGCGTAGGTCAGGGATCATACGTATCTCCGGGGGCAGTTCATTCCAGAGGGCGGGTGCCCCCCCAGAGAAGGCTCTCCCCGTGGGGGTCGCCAGTCGACATTGTTTGACCGACGGCACCCTGAGGAGTCCCTCTCTGTGGGAGCGTATTGGCCGGTGGGAGGCTATCGGTGGCAGAAGGCGATCTCGTAACTATCTCTACAGTTGTCCTTGTCAATTTAAGATGCATGTTCCCAAACAAGAGTGACAGGCGACTTATGTCACAAAACCACTGTATGAAATACACGAGTCATGATCCTGAAATCAGTCCAAGATTACCAGCTCGTACAGTCATAGATAGTTTTGAATTTTGCCTTTCTCTAACCATGGCCCCGGTCCTCTAATTCTGGCCTGGTGACATTTGAAGAGTCCCTGTGCAGCTTTACACTTGATAGTGTTATCACTCTTACCAAAAGTTGAGATGTAAATAATAATAGGCAAAATGAGCCAACTGTCCAATTTGCTAAAAACACATCAGAATATTCAGAATTATACAGATAGGCCGTTTGAAGTTACAACGGCATTGAAAAAGGTGACATATAACCAATTTTCATAGTGTTGCATCTTCGTGGTCACGTGATAAAAATTCACACACTTGGCAACTGACTCAAATTTATGACAGTGGCCGTGTCCCGGGTCATGTGATCCCCTTTTGCGACCTTCAGACAAGTGAAGTCAATGAGGAAGCCCAATTCACTTAACAGCATGTTACTAACTTACCAACGGCAGTGATTCACTTAACAAAAGTGGGAAGGAAAGTTGCAAAATGGGGCAAAATTCAACAGTTTGGATTTTAGGTAGTCCTCGAATTACAACCGTCCATTTAACAGCAGTTTAAAGTTACAGTGGCCTCAGAAAAATTTGACTTGTGCCCTGTACTCACACTTAAAGACTGTCACATCAACCTCATGGTCATGTGGCCGCAATGTGGGCACATGACAACTAGATTCTGCTGTACGTGATTGCTATTTGTGCCACTCGTAGCTCTTGTATCAATTGTGCGGTTAGTGTCCGTGTTTTGCTGGCATATATTAGAGCAGGTAGAACACACTGATGGAAAACTTTTCAAGCATTGGGGGAGGTGGTTCTTGAAAATTACTCTTAGCTTGCCAACCACATTTAACCCTCCGTTCAATTTCCTTCCATTGAGATCGGTTGGCCAATAGTAGGACATACATCATCGTCCTCCTCATTTTCTTCGCAGGGGCTTTCAGCGTTGAAATTTTGTCTGCCGATTGCAAAAGTACCTTTTCCTGCATTCATGCAACCACAGCTAACTTGAGAGAACTTGGACAAGATTTTAAGCGAAACCATATTTTGGGAGGCAGCTGCTGGCACTTTGCAGAACACAGAATCATGGGATTTGAAGGGACCTTAGAGGTCTTCTAGCCAAACCCCTGCTCAAGGCAGAAGATCTTATGGTACCCCGATCAAATGGCTGTCCAGTCTGAAAATCTCCAGCAACGGAGCACCCACAACTCTGGGAAGCAAACTGTCCCATTAGTTTTTCCTCACAGTCGCAAAATTTCTGAAATAGCATCGATTCTCCTGCTTGAGCAGGGGGCTGGACTAGAAGACCTCCAAGGTCCCTTCCAGCTCATTCATTCTAATTGGTGTACCTTTTGTGTGGGGGAGGGGCAATTTCCAGCAAAAAAAAAAAACATCATTGGGAAATTGGATTCCTTTAACAGGGGTGATCGGCTTAACAACTGCTGTAAAAATTGTAGTTAAATCAGGTCCAACTCAACTTACAGCTGCCATGACCTAAAATGGAATTCCAGAACCAACTGTGGTTATAAGTTGAGAACTACCTGTGTAGGGTTTTGCAGCTGAATCCAATCACTGCAGAGGAAACCCACTCAATTGCTTCCCATGGATCCAAGCTTAAGAAGAAAGCAAGATTTGAAAATTATTTCTGGGATGTTTTCTTGTTCCACAGCAGACCTTTGGCAATAAGAATAGAAATAGAATAGAAATAGAAATAGAACAGGAATAGGAATAGAGCTGGGAGGGACTTTGGAGGTCTTCTAGTCCAGCCCCCTGCTCAAGCAGGAGATCCTATACCTGTGATGGCGAACCTATGGCACGCGTGCCACAGGTGGCACACGGAGCGATATCCGTGGGCACGTGAGTGTTGCCCTAACTCAGTTCCAGCGTGCATACGTGCGCCGGCCAGCTGATTTCGGTCTCACCGGAAGTTGGGAAATGGGCCGTTTCCAGTCTCTGGGTGGGTAGGGAAGGCTGTTTTTGCCCTCCCCAGGCTCCAAGAAAGCCTCTGGAGCCTGGGGAGGGCAAAAAAACGGGCCTACCTGGCCCACCGTGTCATCACGGGCCAAAAGCAGGGAAAGCACAGGGGGGTCATGCACACATGCACGGAGGGGGGGCACGTTGAATTGTGGGTGTGGGCACGCACACGCGCAATCCCCCCGCTCTCCCCCTGCTTTTGGCACGCAACTGCAAAAAGGTTAGCCATCACTATCCTATACAATCTCAGACAAGTGACTATCCAGTCTCTTCTTAAAAACCTCCAGCAACGGAGCAGCCACGATTTCTGGAGGCAACTTCTGTTCCACTGATTAATTTGTCCTCACTGTTAGGAAGTTTCTCCTTAATTCCAGGTTGCTTCTCTCCTTGATTAGTTCCCATCCATTGTTTCTTGTCCTGCCCTCCGGTGCTTTGGAGAATAATTTGACCCCCTCTTCTTGGTGGCAGCCCCTCAAATACTGCTATCATGTCACCCCTAATTCTTCTTTTCCTCGGACTAGCCAAATTAAAAAGGAGAAAGAGACACATTCTTTTTCAAAGTTTAATGCTCAACAGAAAAAAAAAAATAGTGGTAAGTTCTAACAGTGTTAAACCATCACCGACATTACAACTATGATTATTTCCAGGGCAAAATAGACCATCAAATCCCACCTGACATTACTCACTAGTTAAAACATCTACTACAGCCTTTGCGATCACTTACTACAGACAATGTCAGCCTACAATTGTACAGAGCTCACACTGTAGCTCAAATGTTTTCTTCTTAATTTCACAGACGTAACTACAACATCAAACCTACTAGAGTTAAAACCGATGAAGCAAGTTAGTTACAAGTACCTCCACTCTTATTGCTTTCAATTAACTTAAATCTTGGGCACTTTTATTAGTTTCAGAGCCTCCATTTTAATGAGAAGTAAAGGCACGTATCTATGTGAAAACTTGTGTTTGCAGCATTATAAAGTGGAAGATTCTTCCACCCTTTGGAAAAAATAGTCAAGAAAGCCTATATTTGTATTAAATAAAACCCTCCAAAACATCATATTGTGTACTTTCTTCTGGAAAAAAAAAGTTTTAAATAAGACCCACTATTGTTGAGGTAATCATAATATTTTCTTTAGTGATCAAAGCGCACTTTTCAATGGAATAAATTCATGCATATTTATATCAAGATAATTAATAAACTTTCATCCATTTTGCTCTTTGTGGACAAAAACTCAAGCATCAACCCAAATCTAATTCAGTTTTTGATGTACAAAAAAAAAAATAGTGAAATCAGCTTAAATTATAAGTGCAAATCCGTTCACTTGTGTCTCAAAATGTAAGCATTCATTGAAAATTCTGCTGGAAAAAAATCCGTCAAATCAGCGCTGAAATCCGTTTAAAATCCTGGCAGTGCTGCCAGCACATAGCAAATAGATCATCTAAGATAGCACTTAAAGTAAAAAAAAAAGGACAAAAACAATGACCTAAAACTGGTGCATATTAAGCTACATAAATATTCAAAAATAATTACTGTGACTTGCAGAGATCGTGTCTATCATATTATGATGCGAAGACTGTGGTTGGTGAGCTGTGTGCCTAGCCTCTAAATCAATTTCTCAACCTTGGCAACTTTTAAGATGGATGGACTTCAACTCCCAGAATTCCCCATCCAGTCACCTATAAAAACCAATATGGGCTCCATATGGCTAGCTGGAGAATTCTGGGAGTTGAAGTCCACCCAACTTAAAGCTGCCACAGTTGAGAAACATTGCTCCAGATGCATACAGCTGATGGACAATGTTGGTTGTCTCTACTCTTCCTTCTTAAGATTCTTTTTCTTCAAACCCAACTTGAATTACGTCTAATGTAAGACCACAAGACTCTTTATTAATACAGGTAGTCCTCGACTTACAACAGTTCATTTAGTGACGGAACAACAGCACTGAAACAAGTGACTTATGACCGTTTTTCACACTTATGACCATTGCAGCATCCCTGTGATCATGAGATCAATATTCAGATGCTTGACAACTGACTCACATTTATGATGGTTGCAGTGTCCCGGGTGTGTGTGTGTGTGTGTCATGGGATTCCTTTTTGCGACCTTCTGATAAACAAAGTCAGTGGGGAAGCCAGATTCACTTAATAACCATGTTACTAACTTAACGACTGCAGTGTTTCACTTAACAACTGTGGCAAGAAAGAGCGTAAAATGAGACAAAACTCACTTAACTAATGTTTTGGTTAGTGACAGAAATTTTGGGCTCTGTTGTGGTCGTAAGTCAAGGACTACCTGTATATTGTAACTTATTTTTATTTTTTTCTATTTGATGGATTTCTTAATCTGCTCCCATTTGGGGGAGGGAGGTCTATTCCGTAGTATTATCTGAAGCAAGGAGATTATTTTGATCCTGAGCTTGTGGGTTTCCCAAAGGCATTTCGATTGGTGGCTATTAAAATAAGCATTGTGGGTGATGGACACTCCTTAATTTAGATTCAAAGCTGAAGTGGGGTTGGCTTTTCTCCACTCTGAACAAATCGTAAGTCACGTAACTGAATCCATTCTGAGTCATACGTAGCTTATGCTAGGAACGTCTCTCAATATCGTCTGCATATGATGATCTTTGATATATGAGGAAAATTGCTCTTAGAAAATAGTCACCTTTTAATGCAGTTTCTCTCTTCAGATTTAAAAAAAAAAAAGCTTGGGATCACTGGGTCCAAAACTTTGCAGTCCAGGTTCAAGGCGATTGCATTCTTCTTTGGGACCCAGCCAGTTCCAAAGAAATGCAGTTATGCAAGAATTGTGCTCCAGGTATGTAATCCTATGAAACACAATAGGGGACTGCTCTGGTGGCTTTAATTAAAGCACGACACGCTAATTTAGCAACTGAAGCTTTCCCTATGCTTTTTACCTCATGAAATATGGAAATGCATAAAAGGTGAGAACCTAAATCCTTCCAAAATTGGCATTATTAATAAAATATCCTCATTGCATTCTCCACTTTGCAACAAGAGTGTAGAGTGTGACTGAGTATGTTTGTGTGTGTGTAAGACAAGAGAGGGAGGGGGAGAGGGAGAGGGAAAGAGAAAGGGAAAGAGGGAGAAAAGGAGAGAAAGGGAGGGAGAGGAGAGGGAGATAAGGGGAAAGGGAGAGAGGAAAGAGGGAGAGGGAAGGAAGAAGAGAGGAAGGGAGAACAAGAAAGAGAGAATGAGAGAAAAAGAGAGGGAGAGAGGGAGAGAGAAAAGAGGGAGAGGGAGAGAGAATGAGAATGAGAGAGGGGGGAGAGAGAAAAGAGGGAGAGGGAGAGAGAATGAGAACGAGAGAGAGAGGGGGAGAGAGGAAAGAGGGAGAGAGAACAAAGAGAGGGAAAGGGAGAGAGGAAAGAGAGAGGAAAGAGAGGGAACGGGAAAAGGAGGGAGAGAATAAGAAAGAGAGGGAGAGGGAGGGAGGGAGGGAGAGAGCGCAATGAACTGTTTAGGCCAATGATCTGACATAATATTAGCAAGTCTCTTTTGTTCCTATTTGGTCACTTATTTTTGAAAAATGTAGCTGAATAAGAGTTTAGAATGAGATTATCTGGCAAATTAGTCACACATTTTTGCTAATAGTGTACACAGTTTAGACGTGTTTTCCTTAAACTGCGATCATAACAAGACTGTCTTTATTCCTTAGATTGTTAATACAGGTAGTCCTTGACTTAATGGCCATTCGTTGAACAATAGTTCAGAATTACAGCAGGACTGAAAAAAGTGACTTAACACTTAGGATAGCTGTGCCACAACTGTGGTCTGATGATCACAATTTGCACTCTTCTCAGCTTCCAACAAGCAAACTCAATGGGGGGGAAAGCTAGATTCACCTAATAACCACAGTAAAAATGGTCATAAAATTAAATGTTATCACGTAATGCCTCACTTAACAACCATCCCACTTAACGAGGAATTTTTCAGTCCTAATTGTGATTTTAAGTCAAGGGCTATCTGTATGTTTCTTCTGGGCAATCCACGTGAATCAGTATGATATTGACTTAAATATCTTTTTTTTAAAAAAAAATGAATGGCTACTCTTTTTAAATTGAGCAAAAATGTATTTTCCTATATCCACTGATATCATTTCTCAAACAGAAACAAGGAAACTACATAAAAATATATATCGCATTGAGAGTCCACAGCATCAGTAAAATGAAATCTTATGTAATTTAAGCGAAGAATGCTACTAAGGTATTACTGTATCAGAAAATTTACGTTCCAAGTCCTCAGTTCCTTGTTCAGGGCGAAATGACGAGAAATCCCCAGGTTTAAAACTCAAATGATGCAGCAATTAAGCTTCTCGGCTTTTAAAAACAAAACTTGGAAATGTTACTTTTTTAAAACCAGGGTCCCTCGTCGTCCTCCTCTTCCCCCTCGTTTTCGTTCAGGTAGAGAAGGGCAATTTTCTTTTCATCCGAAATGACCGATCGTTGGTCAACCATTCTTTGCAATTGCACAGTTTGATCAAACGTGGACTCCTCTGACTTCTGTTCCCTTTCTGGGCCTTTCCAAACCTCTTCCTTGCTGCCTTCAGGTTGACTGTCATCTGCTTCTTGCCTACTTGATACAACTAGGGTAGCTTGTGGCTCTCTCCCACCCATTTGGCTTATGTCCATCTGGAAGGTAAAGGATGTTTCTTTCTGTCCGATTCTGATTTGCCCGACAGATTTGCTGTTTTCTGAGGGTCCATCTCTGTGGGAAAATTCCATACCGCTGAAGAGTTGAGCATCAGGATTGAGCTCTTGCCCAATCTGAATGTGATGTGTTGATCTGCTGATCTCTGCAGGACTAATTTTTTCCGAAGTGTCTTCTTGTGAAGAACCGATTCCTGGAGATTCCAAAACAAAATCTTGGGATAGGATGTCACGACTCTGGACTTCTTTCTGCCCTAATTTAATATGATGTACTGACCCTTCAGAAGAAAACATCTGTCCCAATTCACTGACCTTTTGGTGCTGTTCAGAAATGGGCTCTGTAAAAACAATTTGTTCACTTACAAATTCCTTCGGACTTAATTTGATATGTCTGATTGTGGTGTTAACATCCAGCACCTTCTCCTCACCAAGCTTGACTGAACCATCATCTGATGTCTTGGTGAAGGAACCTTCATAAATGTTTTGGTCAGATGTTGATGTGTCCTTCTGTCCTAATGTAATCTTTTTTACTGTTTCTTCAAACAGATCATGGTCTCCAGTGGAAAAAGGCACTTCATATATTTCTCGCTCAACATGTATTTCTTTGGGATCTATTTGGATGTGTCTTATTGATGTGCTGATTGCTGTGGGATCTTTCACCTGTGAAAAGATACCCCTTCTAGTATCAGATGACAAGTCTGAAGCTGATCCCTCAAACATGATTTCTTCAACAATTTGTTTTGAATCCAATGTGATATGCTTGGAGGATCTAATATCACTCAAAACCTGGATCTGAGTAGAATTTTCAGGATTACTTACTTCTTCAGATGTATAAATAGGACTTCTGTAGATTATTTTTTCTGTGGTTTCCCTTGTTTCAGGACTCAACTTTATTTCCTTCATGAATTGACCTGTGTCCGCTGATACTCCTGTTGTAAAGTCCCCTGTTCCAAACTCCAGCGTGTCAGAAATAGGACCTTCATAAAAGACATGTTCAGTCTTACGGATTTCAGTTGGACCAACTACAACATGCCGGATGCGTCTGTTGATATCAAATGACTCCTTAGAAGGATAGGTATCTTCTCTCTTATTGGTTTCTTCTGTGGTCCAATGTGTGGAGGAAACATCTATGTGATGTTTTTCATCCTGCCAAGTTTCTGGTTCTTGCTTTATGTATTGATCAAAGTCACCTTCATTTGGTGACTGTTTGGACAATTTCATCTGATCGGTCACAACTTCACCAAGCAATTCTGTACTCAACTGGTCAGAGTCTATTGTCTGGGATAAATTAACTTCTGCAACGATACTAAAGACACCCTCTTTTTCGGGGTGCTTTACTTTTTTAATATCCACCTCCAAGGTACTAGAGTCAGTTTTGTCCTCTTTGGTGAGTTCACCGAGTTCCTGTTTCACAAGTTCTGGAAGAGTTGCTTCAAGCTTTCCTAGAGCCTCTTTCAACTGATGTTTAGGATCTTTTGAATGGTGAGCAAAAACCTCCTTTATCGACTCCTGAAATTCATGCGGGATTTTAATCTCCTTCTCAATAACTACAGATTCAGCATGGGCCACCTGTTCTTTGGGGGGTTCCGTCTTTGAGATAAAGGGCCCAGCATCTGCGCCAATTACTTGATAAATCAATTCTGGTAAAGCCATGCTTTCCTTTATGTTGGTTTGAGACCCTTCCAGAAATTCATCTTGCCAAGAATATTTCACCGTGGATTCTTCTTCAAAATGGATTTGACCATAGGTGGAACCTTCTCCTTCCTCATAACCAAACGGGTATTCATCTGGAGTGGAAACAAAGTACTTTTCTTCATCCACAACGTCATCGCCCTCAGATACTTCTTCCACATGAGTCACAATCACATCGGGTTGTTTTTCCTTAACGTCTCCAGTAACACTTGTGGTGGCTTTCTCTTTATCACTATAATATGGATGTTCTCTCACATTGAGAAACGTATCTTCTGCTTCCTCTACTTCGAATGGGGTTGAAAACTCCACCCTTTCATCAACTACAGTTGTAGGCTCTTCAATGATCTCAACTTTAATAGTCCTCTTGGCCTTGTCTTTCATTCCTTTCATCCCAGCATTAATTATATCGTCTAGGACATTTTCATCTAAACTTCCTTTAGTATCCTCCAATACCTTTTTAATATCTTTCTCAAAGAAACTTCCCAATTCAGACTTATTAGACACATCAAGGTCATCTTCTTGAACTGTGGACTCTATGCTGATCTTGGTTTTCACTTTTCCATCCTCAGAAATTTCTTCCTTTTCGAAGGAAGTTATTTTAGCTTCGGGAGGAAGTCCTTCCTCTGAAGACTTTTGTACAAAACCTTTAAGGATGTCAGAAACAATGTTCTCTGCTATACTCTCAGTGAGCGAAGCATCTATTTCAGAATTACCTTCTTTGCTTCTATCACCTGGAGTCATTTCATTGCCGAGTTTAAATTCAGCTTTCCCTTTTGATTTTTCTGGAGAAGTTTTGAAGTCTTGCAGTGTTATCTCTACATTATGATTCTTCTGTAGAATTTTGCCTTTAGTATGTCCTGAATGAATGGGGGCATCAATAGTTTCTTGGGTTTTTGAGGAGATGCTCACAATTTTCTCCCTTCCAAATGTTGCTGTATCTTTTGGAATCTTCTTTACTTCTGACTCCACTTTAATCTGTTCCTCCCATCTTCTAGAAAGCATCTTATCTTTCATTAATTTATCTTCCTTTCTCTTAAAGATACCCTCTTCCACTGTATCCTCTTTGTTATCCACGCCTTCCTTCACTTCGGCCTCCTTTTGAACAGTTTTTTCTACCCTGTTCAATTTCTCAAAGTTCTTCATGGCAGAATCTGTTGCTTCTTTGGCCAACTTTTCCTTCTGCTCAACTCCTTCTACCAAAACGTGTTTTTCTTCTGTTCCTGGTTTGCCCCCTTTGATTATTTCATTGATGTCACCCAAGATTCCTTCCCTCGTCTCATATTGGCTTCCTTTAGAAGAAGAAGTTGTTGAGCTGTAAGATAGAGGTGAAGTGATGATCATGGTGGCCCTGATGCCTTCAGAACTTGTTGGCTTTTTCATTTGCTTCTGAAGGATGGTGGACTCTTTCAAAGCAGATGCCATACTTCCCATTTCGAATGTCTTCCTTTCAGGCGCTGGTGGCCTTGGCTGAAGGTCACCTTCTCTGCTCATCCGATAAGGCGACGTAAAGCTTTGTCTTTCTCTTTGTCCTATCAAGCTTCTTTCGTGAGTCACATATCTTTCGGTAGAACTTGAAGGACGCTGTCCCAGCCTGAAGGGTTCTTTTGGTAGCATTTTTTTCTCAGGGAAAATTGTTTGCCTTCCAGCACTTTCTGTCCTAGATGAAGAAACCACAGAGCGGCTCAAATTTGTTTGCGGGAATTTATATCTTAGGTCAACATTTGGAATTGCGGGAAGAGCTCTCTTTCCTTTCTCCTGTTGATAAGCGGAGTATCGGTTGCTATACTCGTAACGCAAATTTCGGTCACCTGCCAAGAGATAAATAAAAATGGATATTAATGCCATGTACTTATTACTTACTTATTCATTTAATTTGTAACACAGCACTATTATTTTTAGAAATAACTCAAGGCAGCAAACATATCCAACACACCTTTCTCCTCCTTTTTTTTTTTTTTTTGCTTTAATTTATATGCCGCCCTTCTCTGGAGACTCAGGGTGGCTTACAATGCGTTAAGCATTGTTACCTTCATACCTTCATACTTTTGTATATTTATACAAAGTCAGCTTATTGCCCCCACAATCTGGGTCCTCATTTCACCTACCTTTGAAAGGATGGAAGGCTGAGTCAACCTTGAGCCTGGTGAGATTTGAACTTGCAGTAATTGCAAGCAGCAGATGTTAATAACAGTGCTTTAGTCCACTGTGCTACAGGCTCTGTAGTACTACAGAGTGTACTAACACTGTACTACAGGCTCTTTTCCCCACAACAACAACCCTGTGAAGTAAGTTGGGCAGAGAGAGAGAGGGAGTGACTGGCTCAAATTCCCCAGCTGGCTCTCATGGCTAAGGCAGAACTAGAACTCACAGTCTCCTGGTGATTGGCCTAAATCACCCTGCCAGCTTATATATGTATATTTTAACTGTATTTTAATATTTGTATTTGATTATTACTTGGCTGTTCACCGCCCTGAGTCCTCAGGGAGAAGGGCGGTATACAAATTCAAAATAAAATAAAATAAAAAAATAAAAACCAGATTTCATTCCTAAGGAGGGACAAGAACTCAGAGTCTCCTGATGATTGGCCTAAATCACCCTGCCAGCTTTCATGCCTAAAGCAGAACTAGAACTCACAGTCTCCTGGTGATTGGCCCAAAGTTACCCAGCTGGCTTTCATAGCTAAGGCAGGAGTTGAACTCACAGTGTTAAGGCCACAGTCTAGTGGCCTTAACCACTAGATAACACAGCAATACACCTTAGGCTTAATTCTAATCATAGTCTGAACGTATAAAAAAAATAGATCTAGTTTGCTATCAATTCTATTCATGTTTGCATCTCTTTGCAAAACAAGATATAAACATTTTTTTAAAATTTGATTTATATGCCGCCCTTCTCCAGAGACTCAGGGCGGCTTACAATGCGCTAAGCAATAGCCTTCATTCTTTTGTATATTTATATAAAGTCAGCTTATTGCCCCCACAATCTGGGTCCTCAATTTACCCACCTTAGAAAGGATGGAAGGCTGAGTCAACCTTGAGCCTTGGTGAGATTCGAACCTGCAGTAATTGCAGGCATCTGGTCTTAATAATCAGCTTAATAACAGGGTGCCTTAGACCACTGTACTACCAAGGCTCTTGGGCTATAGGGCGTTATAATTGCTCCAGTTTTTATATTCTTTATTACGATACACTGCCAAAGCAAATGAAATTTTCCCTGCCTGAAAAGCAAATTATTATTTTATTTATTAAATTTATATGCCGCTTGCTGTACTTTGAAAAGTGACAAAATGATATTTTGGCACACAAAACAAAATGCAAACCCATGACAAGTATTCAGTGTGTAACTACTACAAGAAATTTACAAGGAAGCCAAAATAAAGTTTTAATTTCTTTCAATTAGCTGATGTGAAATCCACCGGACAAAGCAATAACTATATTCGCAGTACACTTACTTACGTAACCCAAATATAACGATAATTTTACAAATTGCTACGTTCCTTTCTTATTTTGCAGGATGAATCCTACAACTCTTAGTACAGGTAGTCCTTGACTTGCAACCACAATTGGAAGCAGAATTTCTGTTACTAAGCAAAGTGGTTAAGTGAGTTGGGCCTGATTTTATGACCTTTTTGGTCACCGTAGTTAAGGAAATCACTATAGTTGTTAAGTGAATCACATGGTTGGTAAGTGAATCTAGCTTCCCCCATTGACTTTGCATGTCGGAAGCCCCTGATTTTACAACCTGGGGCAAAACTCATTTAACAACCGTCTTGCTTAATAATGGAAATGTCGTAAGTTGAGGACTACCTCTATACAGTAGCGGCCAAAATTGTAGAAACCTTTGGGGAAAAGTGTATTTTCTAAAACTAGCTAATAACACCAATTTTTTGGGGAGTAGTACCATAAAATTATATATCAAAAGATAATTTAATCAAGAATGTAATGCAATAACTTTTATGAAGGATTTGCTATTAGAGTAGCAGTTACAGTATAAAGAAGAAAAGTGAAACACGTAGGAAAAATCGAGATATACAAAAATTATCCCCATGTCAGTTAATACATGGTTGGGTAACCTTTAGCATGAATGTCGGCCTTACAACATCTTTCCATGGAGCAAACCATGTCTTTTAGTTCTGCAGCTGTTATCATGTGAAACTGAGATTGTAGGATTGCTTCTCTTAACTTGGTTTTATTGCTGGGTCACTTCTGACTAACAAGTTTCTTTTGTCGGCTCCATAGATTTTCAATTGGGTGAAGGTCTGGGCTATTCCCAGGCCATTCCAGCAGTGGACTAGGATTATCTTGAAACTCCCCCAAAAAAGGTGGTGTGATTAGCCATCAAACCTCAAAAATACACTTTTCCCAAAAGGTTTCCACAATTTTGGCCACTACTGTACTCCATATAGCTTGGGACAAAGCAGGAATGGATGCTTTGTCTTCCCTTCTGTTTTTAAATGCATTGATATAATTTCCATCTTTTGTACCTTGGGGTAACCTTCTTCCATGTTCTTCATTCCACATGAGAATCCATTGCTTGCTCTCTGCTCCTAGCAAAGCTCTGCCGTACAGAAAAACAAAATGGAATTAATAACAAATTAAAATATCTATGCCCAGTGCAGTGTTTCTCAATCAGAAATATGAACATGAACCAAGCAACCATCCTAACAGTGTTTATCTCTCAACTGTGGTCACTTTAAGATGGATGGACTTCAACTCCCAGAATTCCCCAGCCAGCACGGCAGCATGGTTAGGGAATTTTGGGAGTTGAAGTCCACCCATCATAAGGTGGCTGAGGTTGGGATGCACTGATTCAGGGCAACATCCACTTCCCTTAATTTTCAGTTATGCTTATGAAAGCCAGAATGCTAAAAGCTTGTATTTCCTCTTCGTATTTCTTACACTTTCTGTCTCACATAAAAATTTACATATTTTTTCCCTTTGGGAAATTAATTTTTCTGCCTGGCCCATGAATAGAATCAGTCTTGATTAACTTTAACCAAGGTCTCGAAATAACTTTGGCTAATCGCATTTTTAACTGATTTAAATCAAGAACAATCAAGTTAAATCTTCCACACTGTAGCATTTGCAGAACCAGAAGGGAATGCATTTTACATGTCTACCTACTGACTGAATTAACACGGCCTGTAATTGAAATTCAGTCTTCTAGGTTTGTTTTTTTTTAACAGAATTGGAAAGATAGGGGAATTTTGCATACTGGGATAATATCATTGAAAAAATGGTGGAATACTTTATGCAAATTAAGCTTCATGTCATTATTGCAAACCCAGTTAGTCCTTGACTTAAGACCATTATTGAGTCCAGAATTTCCGATGATGAGAAGGTGGTTAAGTAAGCTGTACCTGTTTTTATGACCATTTTTGCTATCGTCGTAAAGGAATTTAAAGTGAATTTACACTTTACAAGAAGTGTAAGTGGCTGTTACAAGAATCCAGCTTTCCCCATTCCCCTGAATAAGAAGGTTGCAAATAATAATCATGTGACTTTGGGACATTGCAATTGTCATAAATGCGCCCAAAGCTTGATCACATGACTGTAGGGAATGCTGTGACGGTCTTTGAGCACTGGTCACTTTTTGAGTCACTTTTTTCAGTGCTGTTGTGACTTCAAACGGTTGCTAAACAACTGGTTGTAAATTGAGGATTACCAGTATAGGAACTGACACATGGACTCTATGGAAGGCTTCCTGTCTAATCTACTGCATCTTCAAAGTAAGTGTAGGAAATAACCAGGCTGAACTGGAGGGAGGCGTCAAATATATCATCAGTCATGAGTCTCTGCTCCCCTGCAAGAGATCTAAATCCGGCCCAGCTTGAATGCCTCTCTTATCTCCCGCTCATTTCCCTTGGCCATTAGTTGGCCAGATTCTTCTAGAGCAGAGCTGTCAAGCTCACGGCATCATATCGTGATGTATCGGGACCTTTTCCCCCTTCGCTAAACCGGGCTAGGGGGTGGCCAGCGCCATGGCAGGGGAAGGATACTCAAAATCTCCATTACCTCCCCACTCCTGAGGGAAGGATATTGCAAAATCTCCACTCCCACCCCACTCTGGGGCCAGCCAAAGATGGTATTTGCCGGTTCTCCGAACTACTCAAAATTTCCGCTACCGGTTCTCCAGAACCTGTTGGAACCTGCTGGATTTCACCCCCGATTTGAACTATCTGGATCTCCTGATTTTCCCTGGCGCTTGACAGTAGCATTAGAAAAAGTCACCGGATGCTTCAAGCAATTCAGGTGATCGGTAATATTAAATAAGAAAATTCAATAACTCTAACTGACCCTAAGGCAGCTGCCTCTATTGTTAGGATGTCCTTTTTCAGTGTAATGGCTGACAATTATCTCATCCTCTGAAACAGAATTTGTGAAAAATATATCCTTTGAGTCTTTTTAATTATATTAAATATTTATTTTATTTATTTATTTAATATAATTTGTATGCCGCCCTATCTCCGTAGGACTCAGGGAGGCTCACAACAAATAAAAACAAACCCAATAAAACATAAAATACATAAATATGCATACTTAAAATACATAAATGTATAAATATATAATTTAAACATATATTAAAACCCATTAAAATCAAAAAAACCCACAGTCCAGGCTAACTAATAACTAATATATAACTAACTAATAACTAATATATATATATAAATGATATCTATATATAACAATTAATAAAGATATAAAAAGGTGCTTAACTTAGTTAAGGTACAATAAGTCCGTCTGCCAAATTGATTGCTGGTAAAAAAAATCTCTCCGTAAGAAATGCTAGAGTTAAAACTATAGCAATATGGACATTCTCCTACAGCTGCTGTTAAATTGCTGGGTTCATTAAAGGCAACACGTACAATATTTTAAACTGTGTAATCTCTCAAAACAACATTTTCAGTTTGGCTCTGCCAACTGCTTTGACCTGATAATGCAGGACGACTATCTACGCTCTATAAGGAGCTTATTTGGAAATGTTTGATAGCTAAGATTCCTGGAAAGCAATATGAAATTTAAGTCATTTGCCTTTAAAGACCCACAATGTTTAAACACTGAGGAAATCTTATTTCATTCTGAGTTATAAAACAGTAATGCAGGCATTTCATTGATTTGTAATTGGTTTAAATATTGCTACACAAATTGAAATGTCGCATAAATAAAATACAGTGGACGTAAATAAATGAATGGATATAATTCTGTGTTGAATATAGTGCTTAATTTTATTTGTCCTCTGCGAATATATACCGTATTTTTCGGAGTATAAGATGCACCTTAGTTTTTGGGGAGGAAAATAAGAAAAAAGCTGGAATACCCCCAATCAGCTGTTCCCAAAGGTGAATTTTAGCAAGGGGTTCCTTTGTTGTGAGCTTGGTTCCTTGCTTTTTTTTGGTCTTTTTTTCTGCCTCTGAAACTTCTGAAACTGTTTCAGAAAAAACTTTTTCCTACCTCTGAAAGCCTCTGAAACAGAGCTTCAGAAAAAAAGCCTCTGAAGCTGGGTGGGGCTACATTCAGAGTATAAGATGCACCCAGGATTTTCACCCTTTTGGGGGGGGGAAAGGTGTGTCTTATACTCAGAAAAATATGGTAAGTAGAACAGTGGGGGGGGGGGAACAGCTGTCCTGCGCGATTTAGATTCGTTAGAAAGCAGGATTTCCTGTGTTCTAGCGAATATAAATCACATGGCACAGCTGATCGTCAGACATACCGTATATGTATTATGGTGGTCTTCCGGGTGCGCTTCAAGGTTCTGGTTACCACCTTTAAAGCGCTCCATGGCTTAGGACCCGGGTACTTGCGGGACCGCCTACTACCACCAATAGCCTCCCACCGGCCGGTACGCTCCCATAGAGAGGGGCTCCTCCGGGTGCCGTCAGCTGGCGGCCCCCAAGGGGGAGGGCCTTCTCTGTGGGGGCACCTACTATCTGGAACGAGCTCCCCCCAGAGATACGGAGGATCCCGGATCTGCGCACCTTCCGCCGCGCCTTAAAGACCTTACTATTTCACCAGGCCGGCCTGGCCTAATTTTCCCTCTCTTTTATAAAAGATTTTTAAAATTTTAAATATCTTTTAGTATTTTATATATTCAATTTTAAATTGGTTTTAAAAGTTTGGGGTTTTAAATTTGTCGGGGCCAAAATTATTTAATTTGATTTTATTCTATTTTTAAATTTTGTATTGTATGTGTTTTTATTGTTTGGCTGTGCACCGCCCTGAGTCCTTCGGGAGTAGGACGGTATAGAAATCTAATAAAATGAAATGAATGAAATGAAATGAATGGTGCACTTATTTTTAAAGAATTGTAACTGAACTTTTTAAAAAAAATATTTTAGACACATTGTGTTCATGGAAAGTAGCTGTTTTTTCTCTTCGCAATCATGCAGACTACATCCGATATATTATGAGAACTGCTAATAGCCAAGGACTTAAACTATACTACAATATTTATAAAAATATTTGAAAGGGTGTGTAGAACCGATGTGATCTCCGTTGCTCTAGAATCAGTGGATGAAGATGGCAGGGAAGTAGCATTTGATTCAATGTTAGGAGCAAATCCTCTCTATTTAAAAAATGGCCAATAATGAAACAATGTCGTGGACAATAAATCATTACTCCTTGGACACGATTCGGTATGTAGGAACTTGCTTCCAGCAGAAGCTCGCAAACAGGACAGAACCAACTAAGTTGATTTATTGTAGACAAGACGGGAGCTGTGTAAACAATGATCTACCAAAGTAGAAAATAATTCCTATGTGTGTTTGCTTCAGGGTTTAAATTCTAGGCTAGTGATGGCGAACCTATGGTATGTGTGCCACAGGTGGCATGCAAAGCCATCTCTGCGGGCACGCAAGCTGTCGCCCTAGGTCAGCTCCACCGTGCATGCGTGCGTGCCTCCCGCCAGCCAGCTGATTTTTGGGACTCTGCGGAGATGCACATGCATACACAGGGAGCAGGGGGTCGCACGCGGGGTGGGGGGTCATATGTGCATGCACAGGGTCGGGAGGTTGCATGCCCATTTGCAGGGGGTGGGGAAGCATGGGGGGGTCGCACGTGCATGCATAGGTGAGCGGGGGAGCACAGCGGGGGTCAGGCGTGCATATGCAGGGGCGTGGCACGCAGGGAGCATTGCATTATGGGTGTGCTCTGTCGCATGCACGCACATGCTTTCGGCACCCGAGGGAAAAGAGGTTAGCCATCACTGTTCTAGGCCTTTTCCTCCTGGCTTTTCTAGTTAAAGAATAATTTCTTTTCTCTTCACAGGCTTGAGAAAATTACCTGTGTAATGTAGACATAACCATTTTATCTGCCCTGGGAATCACTTGGTCTTGCCTTGGACCAGTTCGCATTTGAGATGTGATGGATTTCCAACTCACTGGAGACAAATTTTACAGAATAACAGAGTTGGGAGAGACTTTGGAGGTCTTCGAGTCCAACCCTCTGCTCAAGCAGAAAATACCATTTCAGACAATTTGCTGGCCAGTCTCTTCTTAAAAGCCTCCAGTGATGGAGCAGCCACAACTTCTGAAGGCAAATCATTCCACTGATTAATTGTTC